CGGTGGCTCAAGCCTGTAATCCCAGCACTTTGGGAGGCTGAGGCGGGTGGATCACGAGGTCAAGAGATTGAGACAATCCTGGTCAACATGGTGACACCCCGTCTCTACTAAAAATACAAAAAATTAGCTGGGCATGGTGGCTTGTGCCTGTAATCCCAGCTACTCAGGAGGCTGAGGCAGGAGAATTGCCTGAACACAGTAGGCGGAGGTTGCGGTGAGCCGAGAACGCGCCATTGCACTCCAGCCTGGGTAACAAGAGCGAAACTCCGTCTCAAAAAAAAAAAAAAAAAAAAAAAATTGATAAACATGCTTAACTTTTACTCTTAGTAAATGGATTAAAAAAAACCTTGTTCACCAAATTCTTGTCTAGGCTGTTGCATGTGGTGCCATCTTGGCACAGTATCAGTGATTTCTGGGTCTTCCACTCTTAGTGGGAAATACCTGCTATTGGGTCCTGTTCTGGAGCCCTAACATTTTAGAATCAGTAGCCTGTTTGCAAAAGCTGGAAGTCATCTGAAATACATAGTACAAGTCACCTAAAATATTGCTGGGGCTCTGCAGTATTTTAGATCGCCTTTAAAGCTAATTATTTAGGAGGAAAACATAGTGACCAACTCAGTCTGGTCAAACAGTTGTGCATTTTGATACTCACCAGATGTGTTGGTTCTATTAGAGCCCAGTCATCCACCCTGGGAGAGGAGGCAAAAGGATGCTGGGTAGAATTCCTTTAGGCATTTTGTAGGTGATGCTGTTAACCTAGGTAGGGTTACTGTGCCTTCAGCCAATCTCCTTTCCTTTTTACCCAGGCCTTGCTTACTTGAAATCAGTTTCCTTTGAAAAGTGCTGCTACTATGTTTCTATTTTTAGTCATTGCTAATTACATTTCCTGGCTTAGGCTTTTTTTCTGACTATAGCAGTTAAGTTTTGGTAGAAGGGGGAAGTAGAAGGGAGGTACATACACGCACACACACACACACACACGCACACACACACACACACACACTTCCTTTTAAACTCTGCATGTGGAATGGCTTTTGTATTTACCAGGGCCAGCTGCTTCCTCATATTTCATTCGTCATTTGACAAGTATTTATTGAGGTCTATTATGTGCAAAGCATTGTATGATGTCCTCAAAGAAGTTACAGTATTTATTTAAAACATAATTATTGCTACAAAAGAGGTGGAGATTAAATGCTCTGAGAATCCACAGCAGAGAGTAATTTCCAGTCTGGACATGGGAGGAAGACTGTGGAGGAGGCAGCATTGCAGATAGGCCTGAGGGATATAGGATAGGAAGGCTGAGATGCGCCAAGATGGTGGAGGAAGACTACCTATTCACTTTTCATAGTTTCAAAGGAAAATTATTGTATTTTAATGGCTTTATTTTTACTGGTAATAGAGTATTTTAGCTTGCTTCTTTATTTCTTAGTATGGCACGCAATGTCAGGAGAAAACTCTTCTGAAGTTCTTGTTCCATGAAAGTATCTCCCAGCAGGCTCACCATCACATGGGTAATAAATCCCCTGGGTAGTAAACTCATCATTAGCCCTGAAACAGAGAACAGCCTTCAGGAAGGATGCCCATGAAACCAACAACTGAAGTTTTCAGGTTTTGATTTCTTACTGGAAATGTTGAAAGAAACTCTCTGCTTATCAGTTTCTCGTTCTATGCTATATTCTTGCTCAAATAGTGGAAACTGGGCTAGTTTTTTAAAACTAGGAGCAAAATGGAATATTTCTAGTGTTCAGATAAAAACAAAAAGTGTTGTTTTATATTCGTTTTCCTTCGGCCTTCCACAGAAGGGCAGGTTTACCCTGCTGCCCTTACCTTCTGAGCAATTATCCCACCAGGCTGGGACCTGCTAGTACTTGTACATGCCTTTCCCCCATCTCCTCACCAGTCTTTAAACAGGGGAGTGTTGATTCAGGTGTACGGAATACACCTGGACAAGGACAGTAAGGGATTTTCTGAAGAGCCTCAAGTGTAAGCTGTAAGCAGACTCGGATCACGGAGCAGAGAATCTCAGATCTGGGTTTTGCGGTTTCTCCCCTCCTCCACTCCCCGCCGTATTCATGGGTGATTCATCAGGTATCTTGGAGGGAAAACAACACTACTGTCAGTTCAAGTAACATCTTAATAAATTGTTTTCTGGCTTCAGCGAATTAGAGATAGGCTTAGCTGGGTGTTGGGTATTTACTTACAAGTAGTTGAGTTTTACGGGAAAATATGGTACCCATATGTCTTAGTAAAAACATAAGAGTATTGGCTAAAGCTGCTGCCAGGGCTTGCTCAGTTGCTGCCTTCTCTCCTTGGCATTCAGTCTCCCTCCTCACTGTCTTCTTTCCCTCCAAACCTTGAAGTTAAACAGAAAGGCCTTTACGCCTCTGATTTCTAACTTGTTACAGACCCGGAGCCCTGCTGAGAACACTTTTTTCCTTGTGGCTCTTCTTCTCTAATTGTTCATTGTTTTGTTTTTTTTTCAGTCCCAGTTTTTGTAAAGTAGATTTTCTTGATGTGCAGACACTCCTTCCACGTAGCAGTGCTCCCTGCTCTGGCTTTGCTTTTGCTTCCCTTCATGCTGAGGGTAAAGCCTAAGGCCCTGAAGGCGGAGGCAGCATGGGTGGGTACTGGTGTGCTGTACAGCATCACCTGGTCAGCCCGGGGACCTTGGCCCACTCCCTTACTTACACTTGAAAATACAAACTTTCAGCCAGGCGCAGTGGCTCACGCCTGTAATCCCAGCACTTTGGAAGGCCAAGGCAGGTGGATCACGAGGTGAAGAGATCAAGACCATCCTGGCCAACGTGATGAAACCCTGTCTCTACTAAAAATGCAAAAATTTGGTGGGCATAGTGGCACGCACCTGTAGTCCCAGCTACTCGGGAGACTGAGGCAAGAAAATTGCTTGAACCTGGGAGGTGGAGGTTACAGTGAGCTGAGATCCCACCATTGCACTCCAGCCTGGTGACAGAGCAAGACTCCATCTCAAAACACAAAACAGAACAAACAAAATGAACTTTCACAAAGGTTAAATGACTTCTTCAAAGTTATCTGAAAGTTAATGTCATGGCTGCAGATAGAGCCAAGTCTCCTATTTCCTCACCTCTCAATGATAATGAATAGGTTTTTAGTCCTGGTATGCTGGCTTAAGCCTGTGATCCTAGCACTTTAGGAGGTTGAGGCGGGTGGGTCACTTGAAGTCAGAGGTTCGAGACCAGCCTGGCCAATATGGTGAAATCCTGACTCTACTAAAAAAATAAATAAGTAATTTTTTAAAAAAATAAGTATTAAAAATTGCTAGCGAGGTTCAGAAATCAGGGGGTTGGGATGATAGGGGGCTTATTTCCTGAAGGACTGAGTGGTGCTTACAGCAGCTTCTCCATTTGGGTGGCCGGGGGTGAGTGCACAGATGTTGGCTGTCACAGCTACTTCTCACTGGAGATTTTTGTAGTGTGCTTTTTCTCCTTGATGGCTGTCTATATTCTAATAATGACTGTACTTTCATTTTTGTTGAAATCAGCCCTTTGGATAGTAAGGGAACTTTACAGGGTACATGGCAGTTTGGGTCACAGAGCAAGGAGAGCCTGGTGAGCCTCAGGACAGGCAGGTCCACTCATGTTCTGGCTAATAGTTGATTGTGTCACCCTGGACAGGTCATTTCCCATTCAAAACAAATACCAATAAATAATTCCATGTGATGCTTCTTACCCAAATGTGAACTTTGGAGGACAGGGATTTTGTCATTTTCATCATTGTATATCTAGTGCCAGTCTAGTTCCTGGCACCTGGTAAATGAATACACTTCCCTGTGTCTTAGGTTTTTCCTATCTGTAAAATGGGAACACCAGTACCTCCCTAGAAGATTACATGTGATAACAGATGTAGAAACATTTTGCAAAGTTCTGATCACTCTAATAATATCTGAAAGATGGTATTCCTTCGCTTTGAGAGGATCATGAGAGTGATGAATTGAAGAGATACTTAATGTCTTTAACAGTATTAAGTATCTCTTTACTATAACAGAACTGAAAAACCTTTTCCCGTCAAAGACTTTATCTTTGGATAGGAAATAGCATGATTAAATTGGTTTTGTTGATTTTCCTTCTGGGTGTAGATCACTTAAAAGAGAAAGAAAAATTTCCAAAAGAGATTTATTTTTAGTATTTCTGTGAGTTTTGTTCAATTTTGTTTATTACATATTTATGTGATGTTGGAAACACTGTTTGGAACAATATTTTATAGTTCAGTTCTGCATTTTTAAAAAGGATTTCTTCTGTTAACTTCTTTTTCAGTGTGGTTTGTTGTGTAACAGACACTGCTTCCTAAGATCTTTCTGCAAAAGCATTTTAAGGTTGAGAATGAAAGGATTTATTGATTGTTTATTAGAAGAACTATGTTCTTCTGAAAGTCCTGTTATTTTTGTTGTTGTTTCCTTAGAACAGTTAGGAAAACAGCACACCCTTGTAGCTTTCTCAAGGAATAGGATTTGATAAGCGAGAACAGCAAAAAGTTCATGTCGGGATACTCTTAGGCTTGCCATTTCTTTCACATTAAATTGTTTTTTCAACTTTTATTTTAGATTCAGGGGGTAAATGTTCAGGTTTGTGTCATGGGCATATTGCATGATTTGCTGAAGTTTGGGGTACAGTTGAATCCATCACCCCAGTAGTGAGCACAGTGTGCAATATGTAGTTTTTCAAACTCCCCTCCCTCCTGCCCCCTTTTGTGGTTCCCAGTTCCTATTTTTTTTATCTCTATGTCCATGCATAACCAAGGTTTAGCTCCCACTTATGAGCAAGAAGATGCTCATAAGTATATGTTCTTGCTCATAAGTATTTGGCATTTGGTTTTCTGTTTAATTCGCTTAGGATAGTGGCCTCCAGCTGTATCCAGGTTGCTGCAAAGGACTTGATTTCATTCTTTTTTGTGGCTGTATAGTATTCCATGGTTTATATGTACCACATTTTCTTTATCCAATGCACCATTAATTGATGAGCACCTGGGTTGGTTCCACATCTTGCTATTGTGAATAGTGCAGGAGTAAACAATACATGTGTGAGTGTCTTTTGGGTAATGATTTGTTTTCCCCTGGGTATATACCCAGTAATGGGATTGCTGGGTCCAATAGTAGTTCTATCTTTAGTTATTTGAGAAATCTTCAAACTGCTTTCCACAGTGGCTAATAAACTGATACATTCCCACAGCCGTGTGTAAGTGTTCTCTTTTCTCTGCTGACTTACCATTTTGATTTGTCTATAGGACAAACCCATCTGCTTTAAAAGGTTAATAGAGAATCAGAAAAATTAAGATTTTAATTAGCAAAACAAATTAAAGTTTCAGTATGATGCATATTTATCCAAATAGGTGATCATTTTATAAGTAAAATATGAACTCTAACAAGTTATTGTTTTTGTTACTTAGATGGGTAGCCTATGAAAATCCTGACTTCACAGGAGAGCAGTATGTACTGGATAAAGGATTTTATACCAGTTTTGAGGACTGGGGAGGCAAAAATTGTAAGATCTCTTCTGTTCAACCTATATGTTTGGTAAGGAGTTATATTTTCATATGAGAGTATTTAACTGAATTCTGGATTTTCTTAATGTGTGTTTCTGGTTCATATAATAGTAATTGCTAAGGAAAATGTTCTGAGTTTATTTTTAGCAGTAATTGCTAATAATCTAGAAGAAAAAAACTTTTTCAATGTGTCTGTTCCATTCATTTCCTTTTGTCCTTTAAACATTTTTAGGATTCTTTCACTGGCCCAAGGAGAAGAAATCAGGTAACTTTAAAAATATTCTTTTATGTTAATATGTGAGGGGCCTTCCATTGAAAAGCTGAACCTATGTTTAAACTGTCAGACATTTGGGACTAGGTGCGGTGGCTCATGCCTGTAATCCCAGCACTTTGGGAGGCCAAGGTGGGCAGATCACTTGAGCTCGGGAATTTGAGACCAGCCTGGCCAACATGGTGAAATCCCATCTCTACTAAATATACAAAAATTAGCTGGCTGTGGTGGTTTGTGTCTATAATCCTAGCTACTCAGGAGGGTGAGTCAGGAGAATTGTTTGAACCCCAGGAGGCAGAGGTTGCAGTGAGCAGAGATGGCACCACTGCACTCCAGCCTGGGTGACAGAGAAAGACTCTCTCAAAAAACAAACAAACAAAAACAGACATTTTGGACATTTTGTTAGTTTTACTCATTTTTATGCCTGAAAGCATAATTGTATTTTAAAAATAAGATTTAAGTTTACTTTAATGGTTGACAGTACTGACCCATGTCTAAATACTTCTTATAAAATGCTCTTATTGTATAAAGCTGAATTTTATTGAATCAGAGTTTACCTTAATACATTGAGATTAATATTTCAAACAGTAACATCTAGTTATTGTGATGGTAAAATGAATTTTCATATTTGCTGTGTTGGCACTAGACATTTTATATGGTCTCACTCAAGTCTTTTGAATGCCGATTCTTAACATGAACTGGAAGGGACATTTGTTATTTAGGCCTTTTAATGGAAGTGTTCACAGAGCCTTAATTACAGAGGAACAAACACCACTGTAGCCTCCTTTATTGGCTTTTACAGGATTCTGATAAGTCAGCAAGTATCTTCCATTGACAGGGAAGAAAACTACACTATGTCTTTCTAAAATACTGCTTGTTGTTAATGTTAGAACTGACGAACAATGACTTCTAGCCACAATAAGCTTTAATATACCTCACAGCTTAACAACACCGTGTTCCACAGAAAGTTACCTCTGTTGTTGCATTTTACTTTGATGTTTCTGAATTAAATAGTCATGAATGGTACAGCTAACATGTTTCTAATTGATCATTAATGTAGACGTGGAAAATTAAAGGATTTATAAAATTCACACCAGTTTACTGTAACAAAAGTTAACAAGTCACGTTTGGGTCATCATTTCAAAGGCTAAATTAGTTAATGTGTTCAGGAAAATAATTTTATGTGTTTCTGTTTACTTTTTCAAAGATTCACTTGTTTTCAGAACCACAGTTTCAAGGTCACAGTCAATGTTTTGAAGAAACAACAAGTCAAATTGATGACTCATTTTCTACCAAGTCTTGCAGAGTTTCAGGAGGCAGGTAAGTAAAAGGATGGCCTGGCAGAGCTGAATCACGGGAGTAAAACAAAACTCACGTATCAGCAAGTATTCAGTGATGCCTGTTAGCTGCTTGGCACCATGTGAAACCACCATCTTAGCTCAAAAGCATGCTTCATGACACACGAGTGCCAAATGCCAGAGGAGACGGGTCTTTGTGGTTGGCTGGAGGTGAAGATCATCTCATTGTGTAAAGGAATTCAGAGCAGGTTCGTTACTGTGTATGCCTTTCCATCATCTAGAAAGGGAGTGTTAGGCTCTAGTTAATCCAAGGTACCTCCCAAGGTAGATTGTTTTTACAGGTAGATAAGGACAGGATTGGCACTCTGCGTAAGAAGGAGGCAGAAAGTGCATGCTAGAGCGGAGCGGGTGGACACGCGGATCAGGGAGCACACCAGTCCCGCTTGCTGGGAGGGCTTTGTACTGGGAGGAGAAGTGAAACTGAGCACGCTGAGTTTAGATGGCTACCATGAGAAACAGAAGACGCAGGGCAAAGGGAATGGGCTCAAAGTGCCATGCTGAAACAATCCTTGTACAAAAGCTTCATGGGGGGGGGGGCACAAGGTCAGGGAAACTCAGTCAGGAAAGCCTTGGAGCAATCTGTACAAGAAGTGTTGAGGATTTAAGTCTCTTAATGATAGCAGTAATCGTGCCTGTAATCATGTGGTTCCTTATGGTTGAAATAGTGCTATCCTGTCCTTTAGTATTGCACAGCAGAAAAGCACTGACTTTGCATTCAAATACATAGATGGAGGCCGGGTGCGGTGGCTCACCCTGTGATCCCAGCACTTTGGGAGGCAGAGGCAGGTGGATTACTTGAGGTCAGGAGTTTGAGACTAGCCTGGCCAATATGGTGAAACCCCATCTCTACTAAAAATACAAAAATTAGCCAGGCGTGGTGACATGCCTGTAATCCCAGCTACTTGGGAGGCTGAGACAGGAGAATCACTTGAACCTGGGAGGCGGAGGTTGCAGTGAGCTGAGATCATGCCGCTGCCCTCCAGCCTGGGCAACAGAGCAAGACTCTGTCTGAGGAAAAAACAAAACCAAATACATAGATGGACAATACAGATCCTAGTTTTTTGAACAAACCGCCACATCCCAGATCCTCTTTATCCCTAGCCCTGCTCCCTTTATTACCATCAGACATGTGCATGTTGAAATTATCTGTCACAGCTCACTAGAGTAGTAACTTCAGGATAGCAGGGACTTTGGTTCTTTGCTGTATCCCCAGCAATGGAAAAGCACCTGACACACAATCCTCAAGAGGCAATTTTTGGGTTAAAAACAGGACCCGGCGTGGTGGCTCACACCTGTAATCCCAGCACTTTGGGAGACCAAGGCGGGTGAATCACGAGATCAGGAATTCAAGACCAGCCTGGGCAACATGGTGAAATCCCGTCTCTACTAAAAATACAAAAATTAGCTGGGTGTGGTGGCATGCGCCTGTAGTCCCAGCTACTCAGCAGGCTGAGGCAGAAGAATCGCTTGAACCCGGGAGGCGACGGTTGCAGTGAGCCAAGATTGCACCACTGCACTCCAGCCTGGGCGACAGAGCTAGATTCCGTCTCAAAAAAATAAATAAGAAATAAACACACACACAAACTTCTAGGGAAGCATGGATCACCACTTTTTGAATAATGTTGATTCCAGAGAGGCTAAGTGACTGGTCTAAGTTGCTATAGTATTTTGATTCCTGGCCCAGTGCAGAGGTATTAGAAATGAGGATAGAGGAATATGGGAGAAATTTTGGAAGGAAATCAATAGACCTTGGAGATTGACTAGTTACGAAGCTTGAAGAAGGATTATTCAAAGAGGACTTGAGGGCTTGAAGCTCCACTGGTTGGGCAAACAGTGGCACCATGAGAAGTGCAAGGAAGGCTGGAGGTTGGGGAAGTCAGAAAGAACATGGGGAATTTCATGGAAAAAGTTTATTTCCCAAATGCAAAGTTAACTGACTTATGAATATTAATTTGCCACAAGCAGAAATGCAATAAATATATCCAAATATTTTTGAAGAAAGAACTCTTCTTACCACAAGCATTGTTTATAGCAGGCTGCCTCTAAAAATCAGACTTCTTGAATAGGAATACTCAAATTGCATACTCCGTGCGTGTGTGTGGTTTTTCCCTTTGTAGCTGGGTTGCATATGATGGAGAAAATTTCACTGGTAATCAGTACGTGCTGGAAGAAGGCCATTATCCTTGTCTGTCTGCAATGGGATGCCCGCCTGGAGCAACCTTCAAGTCTCTTCGTTTCATAGATGTTGTAAGTATGTCATTGTGAATAGAGTGTTGCAGAAATGTATGCCTCACATAGCTGATGATCAGAGCGAGGTAACCAGCAGGTAGAACCTGCTCTTAAAGTAAGTTAAGGGCTTGGAGGTAGAATTGTCCATCTGGCTCTGTGTACATCTAGTTTGTTGATTTTTAACGGGTACACGTTTTCCACCACCCTCTTTTACTCACTAATCCTCATATGCAGATCCCCACGGACCTGTGTGGGAGTCTCCTGGGACTATATGTTAGGAGTAGAACTGCTGGATTTCACATGTAAGAACAGGCATTTTCACTCAGGACTGCCAGGTCCCACCGCTTGAGACTCCCACTGGCAGTGCACGTGGGTTCCTGCTTCCCACATTGTTGCCATTACTGAATGTTCTCTCATTCTAATTTGTGTCAGCTTGATGGAATGAGCAGACAGCATTACGTCGTTGTTGGGTTAATTTGTATTTCACTGTTAGTGAGGCTGGTATCTCTTATTTGTAATTTGCATTTTCTATTCAGTGAATTTCCTATTGTAGCCTTTGCAATTTGGCTTCCTGTATCTTTGGTTGTTATTATTGAAGAAATTCCATATAGGTTTTTAGTGTGTTATTATTCCGTATTTTAGAGATTTGCAATCAAATGACTTCTCCCAGTTTGTCACTATGTGCTAATCCACATTATAGTGCCCACTTTTGGACAGAAATCTTTCAGTTTGATGTAGTTGAAGCAATATTCATTCAAGATCATGTTCACTGCAAGATCATGCTCAGATATTAAAGTCTGGAAATGTCTGTAGTTTCTGAAATTTTTATTAGTTTTTGGCAACTGTGTTCTCATAAAAAGCTTTACATGTACATAGTTGGTCATTTTAGTTTTAAAGGTAGGAAGCATATATGAGTTGGTTTTATCTCATTCCAGCCTGTCTGTTTAAATAGCAAAAATGCTACTGAGACATGAAAATAGAAATAATGAAACATGAAATGAGGTAGCAGGATTCACTAGCTTACAAGCAATGAAATAGGACTTTGTTAATCTGCTGAAAGCTGCCTACAAGTATATATTTGAAAATTTCAATGTGTTCCCTCAACCAGAACTTGGCATATACGCTCACATCACTCTGAGATTATAGATGACATCTTTTTATATTTTAATTGTCAAGAAATGAATGTTTTACCCATATGAAGACTACATATCGTTGTGACAACATTTCAAAAGTATTTCGCTGCTTTTTAATACTAAACTTAAGTGTTTAAACATTTTTGGGCATGCCATCTTAAAAGTGCAATCAAAGTGCAAAATAGTAATACTGCTATAATTTTTGTCTTCTTTCTTCCTTGTATGTTTTATGTAAGCTAATTCCTAGACCATACACACTACCTCTTCACACTAACATGCTCTGTTTACTGATGGACAAAATCTTTTTTACAAGTCAGGGAACATCCACAAAAATGAAGCAGTAAGGTACAGCACCCTTTCCACAGCTTTAAGCAGGATAGGGAAAAAATTGTAATCCCCACAGGCTTTTTTTTTTTGAAATGGAGTCTCACCCTGTTACCCAGGCTGGAGTGCAGTGGCACAATCTCAACTCACTGCAACCTCTACCTCCCGGGTTCAAGTGATCCTCTAGTCTTACTCAGCCTCCCAACAGCCTCCCAAGTGGCTGGGATTACAAGCATGCACCACCACGCCTGGCCTTTTTTTTATTATTATTTTTAGTAGAGACAGGGTTTCCCCCTGTTGACTAGGCTGATCTCAAACTCCTGACCTCAAGTGATCCACCCGTCTTGGCCTCCCAAAGTGCTGGGATGACAGGCATGAGCCACAGCGCCTGGCCTCCCACATGCTTTTTTGATGCATCATTTATGATCTTAGCAGTATTATCATTAGAGTTTAATGTAGGGTCAAAAGCGTCTATAATTTGAAAAAACAGGCATAAGCTGCCAACTTTTCATTTTGCTGAAAATCAGTGAACATTTGTGCTGCTGTTCTTTGAAAAGATTGACAGTTTGAACATAGGGCTTCCATCCTGTTGTTTTTTTCTCTCCTCCTGACAGTGATTCCTACACGAAAGTTTGGGAGCATGAGTATACAGAATCATTGTCTTATTGATGAACAGAAAAGAAAAAAGACATTTGAAAATACATACAAGAGGAAGGTTCCTTGATTAGGCAATACCACTGTATCAGTAAGCGACTAAACATCAGACTGCCACAGCCCTCTGACCCTCAGCATTTATGTCCACGACTTCCCTGTCCCAATTAAAACAGCTAAGTCAAAAAGAAATGCCATCAGAAGTGCTGATATTCCCAGCATATGCCCATTTCTCTGTGCCTGGAACTTTTTTTCCCTGGCTTTACAGACTATTTCTATTTACCTGCCTTTCTATGCAATGGAAAAACTAACTGCCCCTCTGTGCTTTCTCTCTAGCTTGGAGTATATAAACACTTAGGATCGCTGGGAAAGGGCGTTTATGGAAAGGCCAAATCTGGCAGATTTTTTGTGCTCTGTCCTTGTAACAGGATGATTTTCACATAAGTTTGAATTATTAACAAAGATGAATAACAGAACATTGTTTTTGTTCCTCAACAGGAATTTTCTGAACCAACAATTATTCTCTTTGAAAGAGAAGACTTCAAAGGAAAAAAGATTGAACTTAATGCAGAAACTGTTAATCTCCGATCCTTGGGATTCAACACGCAAATACGCTCTGTTCAGGTTATTGGTGGCATGTGAGTTACCTACTTGTTGATTCAATAAAATAGATCATTTTAACAATCAAGTTTGGGCTGGGCACAATGGCTCATGCCTGTAATCCCAACACTTGGGAGGCCTGGGTGGAAGGATCATTTGAATTCAGGAATTTGAGAAAAGCCTGGGCAGCAAAGTGAGACCCCATCTCTACCAAAAACTTAAAAATTAGCCAGGTGTGTGGCACATGCCTGTGGTCCCAGCTACTTGAGCACAGTAGGTTGAGGCAGCAGTGAGCTGTGTTCACGCCACTGTCCTCAGCCTGGGTGACACAGCAAGACCCTATCTTAAAAAAAAAGTTTGATCCGTTTTCTCTTTCTTACATTATCTTAAACTAATTGACATATACCGTCTGTCTTTCTGTAAGGGCTGCTAATTATGCAAGTTGGTAGAACATTTTCCACTGGGAAAAGTCATGTGTAAAGCATCTTTTATTTCATTATCCAGATTTTTAGTTTGTTTACAGTAAGGANCAAAGTCTAGCAAATAAGAAAGAGAGACGACTTTTCTTATCTCATTAAAAAAGAGCAAGTCCTCTGATTTTGGAGCTCAGGGTTGAGATTTTCTTTAGCTGGAAATGACTGGCAGATGTTATACAAAATGATTGAAGGTCAACTTGGAAAGATTTTTCTCTCTCAACTTTGAATATTTTTTGAATAAGATATAAAAATGAATGAGTACCATCAATGTAATACATGGTTTTTTTGTTTTGTTTTTTTGAGGTGGATTCTTGCTCTGTCACCAGGCTGGAGTGCAGTGGCACAATTTCATCTCACTGCAACCTCCGGCTCCCTGGTTCAAAGCAATTCTCCTGCCTCAACCTCCCAAGTAGCTGGGGCTACAGGCATGTATCACCACGCCCGGCTAATTTTTGCATTTTTAGTAGAGACAGGGTTTCACCATGTTGGCCAGGATGGTCTCGATCACTTGACCTCGTAATCCACCCGCCTCAGCCTCCCAAAGTGTTGGGATTACAGGTGTGAGCCACGGAGCCCAGCCTGTAATACATGTTTTTAAGAAAGTATTTTTCTTTTATTCATTAAAACAATAGGTATGGTCTACCTGTGTACATCAGATGTTGGGGGGGGGACTACATCTGTTTAAAAAAGAACAGGCCGGGCACACTGGCTCACGATTGTAATCCCAGCACTTTGGGAGACCAAGGTGGTTGGATTACCTGAGGTCAGGAGTTCAAGACCAGCCTGACCAACATGGTAAAACCCCATCTCTACTAAAAATACAAAAATTAGCCGGGTGTGGTAGCAGATGCCTGTAATCCCAGCTACTCAGGAGACTGAGGCAGGAGAATCGTTTGAATCCAGGAGATGGAGGTTGCAGTGAGCTGAGATCACACCATGGCACTCCAGCCTGGGCAACAAGAGCAAAACTCCATCTAAAAAATAATAATAAATCACAGAAGCTGAGTGCAGTGATTCACGCCTGTAACCCTAGCACTTTGGGTCATTGAGGCGGGCATATTGCTGGAGCCCAGCAGTTCCTGACAAACCTGGACAACATGTTGAAACCCCCCTCTACCAAAAACACAAAAAATAGCTGGCTGCGGTGGCACACCTGTAGTCCCAGCTACTCAGGAGTCTGAGGTGGGCAATCACTTGAGCGTGGGAGGTTGAGGCTGCAGTGAGCTATGATCATGCCACTGCCCTTCAGCCTGGGCAACAGAGTGAGACCTATCTGGGAAAAAAATCATAGACTATTAGGGTGGTAGAATTATAGGTGATTTTTTTTTTTTTTGGCAGCAGGTTTTAATATTTTGTTCTTATGATAAGATGACTAAAATGATAAAAATTTTATCCAGGATTAAAGTTCCAGGATTAAAAGTAGAGTGCATTCTTCCTTGATGTCATATATTAGCAAGGGAGGAGGGCGCCGGGCTGCCTCCATGCCAGTCTGCACTCAGACCCGTACATCCTCAGGTGTGCAGCAGCAGCACCTGAGCAGACGGGAACCGAGTATCTGAGCAGTTTTTTAGATTTAACGAAGATTACTCTCATTGCAGAGAAAACTTATTTTATTTAACCCTATTTAGCACCTACGAAGAGCTTTGGAAATATTAACTACTTATACAACTTAAAGATCCATCATTACAACTGAAGCTATTTTATGAATAGCTCCCAGGCAGAACTGAGGAAGCCACTAAAAGGCCATATTTCATTGCTTCATGAAGGAAAAAACGTATCTATTTCTTTTCAAGAATGGAACTTTTTGGCATTTTGCTATTAGTCAAGAAATTACTTAAGTGTTCTAGGAAAGATCTTCATTTTTCCCCCAATGTATGTTAAAAGTATATAGTTCAGTCTGGAAATGAAAAGCATTCTAAAAATACATGTAATTGGGGTCCACTGTCAAATGAAAATTGCCACTTACTGTGGTTATTTACTTTTTTGTTTTCAGATGGGTTACTTATGAATATGGCAATTACAGAGGGCGACAGTTCCTGTTGTCACCCGCAGAAGTACCTAATTGGTATGAATTCAGTGGCTGTCGCCAAATAGGTTCTCTACGACCTTTTGTTCAGGTATTTTCCCCTTCTCCATGCTCTGTATAAACTCTTCTCTGAAATTTCTTTTTTGTAAATGCAATCTAATTTTTTAGATGTATAGACTTTCCTGCTCTGTATAGGCTTCTCTGAAATTTTTTTTGCAAATGCAATCCAACATTTTAATTTCAAAGTTTATAATTGGCCTCACCCCATAAACTCCTTCCCCACCCCAATAATCTGGGCTCCGTTTCTGGTGCTCAGAGGTGTGGCTGCTTCAGAATGCCATCAAACTGAACATCAAACGCAGTTATCCACAGGTAGGCACCTGCCTCAGGCTCTTCAACATTTGTCAGACTCTTCTCATTGAGAAAATCTAAAACCTCTGAGACTCTTGGGTATAGTAATTACCCTTAGTCCATATCTCACTTTGGATTCTTCCTGATACTAATGCTTGTTCAGTGCTTCGAGCAGCACATCTTATATGGCAACTGCTGGGTTTGTCTTTTAGAAGCGAATTTATTTCAGACTTCGAAACAAAGCAACAGGGTTATTCATGTCAACCAATGGAAACTTAGAGGATCTGAAGCTTCTGAGGATACAGGTCATGGAGGACGTCGGTGCCGATGATCAGATTTGGATCTATCAAGAAGGATGCATCAAATGCAGGGTGAGCTTTAGGATTCCACGGGGGCCTGGGATGCCTTTGCCAGCAGCTGACTCATCCTTTCATATACTTTTGATCTTTTCTTCAAGTAGATGCAATTTCACGATACCTGGAGTACTTTCTGAAATAAATTTAAGTTTTTGTTTTTTTTTTCATGACAGTATATCTCCTAGCTGTGATAGAACCAGTCTAGGAACTTAAAATGAAAGGTTAATATAGCGCTGATCCAAGATAGAGTAGTTATTTCTATGCTTGATTTTTGGATAGTAATAGAAAAAAGAGGTGTTTGTCATTCTTCCCTTTTTCCTTAATGTAACTGTTACAGAAATAAACTAAGCTCCAGCCCTGTCAACAGAAATCATTCTTGGTTTATTTCTGTTTTGGGGAAATCCACAGAACAGGATGAAGGGTAAAGAGATCCCTCTGTGTACAATATGGTCCATTTCCTAAGTGTCACACCTTGTAAACTGGAAAAGGGCCCATCTACCTCCTGCATCATTCCTGCTATTAACAAACACTTAAAAGCCGACTGTAGTAAGATTTTATGAGAGAAGCTCATGCTTCTATGGTAGATAAAACTTTTTTACTCCTGATGTTATGGGCTTGACTGTTGGCTCCTGATTTTCTTAAAAAAAAAAAAAAAAAAAAAAAAAAAAAAACTGGCGCCCCATGAGTCAGCAGAAGGAATACAGCCTTGCGAAAAGGAGTACAACTCGTTCATTGGGTCTGTTGCGCTGGAGGGGAAATTCTTTCAGTAAACAGAAGGACTGTTTGGACATGCATAGAAGAACTAGCAGGAGAAACAGAGTAGTTGTTATATAGAAAGAAGCATGAAAAGAAGCTTTCTGCCTTTGAATTATCTTAAACAATCCAAGAAAATGGTACCTTGCAGCAATTATTTCTAACAGACATTTCAGTGATGAATGAGAAAGTCTCCTAGATTATCACATCAATATAGAATAATACACTTTTTTTTTGCGGGGGAGGGGGGAGGGTGTCCCACTGTCACCCTGGCTGGAGCGCAGTGGTGTATCTTGGCTCACTGCAACCTTCACCTCCTGGGTTCAAGGGATTCTCCTGCCTCACTCAGCCTCCCGAGTAGCTAGGATTACAGGCGCGTGCTACCATGCCCAGCTGATTTTTTGTATTTTTTGTAGAGATGGGGTTTCACCATGTTGGCCAGGATGGTTTTGATTTCCTGATCTCGTGATCCACCTGCCTCAGCCTCCCAAAGTGCTGGGATTACAGGCGTGAGCCACTGCACCTGGCCTAGAATAATAGACTTTTAATGGGCATTTTTATAACATTTGTTTTGTTTTTGTGTTTGAGATGGGGTCTAGCTCTGTTGGCTAGTCTGGAGTGTAGTGGTGCAGTCACAGTCCACTGGAGCTTCAACCTCCTGGGCTCAAGGGATCCTCTCATCTCAGCCTCCTGGGTAGTTGGGACCCACAAGTGTATGCCACTACACCTGGCTAATTTTAAAAACTTTTCTGCAGAGATAGGGCCTCCCAAAGTGTTGAAATTACAGGTGTGAGCCACTGCACCTGGCCAGTACTATTTGTTAACGGCATGTGAACACGACCGCCATACATTATTTATATATTAAGGGTAGATTCACTTCAGGGAAGGGCTCTTAAATCTTTGCATTAAAACACCCTCTAGTGAGTCTGCATTTTTCTTTTTTCATAGCTGGATAGCATGCCCGTTTAGAAAATTGTAATTCTCATGAAGACAGACGCTAATAAATGCAATTCTGAGTGTTGAAAAAATGCCCTTTAGTCACCCAGTGCTACAAAATTAGAGGTGCAGTCATAAACTGGAAAGTCAGGCCATGCAGAGGCGGAGATGTCAGAGGGCGATATAGCTACAGACCAGACCCTGCCTGGGATCATGGTCACTTACGACTGAAAAATCTCATCATGGGCAGTTTTAATGTTCTGAGGCTCTCTTGCAAAAGGCAGAAGCCTCTTATGATGCACAAAAATTGGGATTTCTCCATCATTCGCATATATTTTAAAATATAGGGCATAAATATTTGGTGTCTGATTCTAGTTGGCTAAGAGCTGAACTGCCTCATGTGGGGTAAATGTAGTGAGGAGCTAAGATAATTTTAAAGATCAGTGTAACCAGATAAACCATTGCTGTGAGGCTTAGAACTGGATGCATATTTAAGCTCTCTTGTCTTTTCCACTGAGCAGATAGCCGAAGACTGCTGCCTGACGATTGTGGGCAGCCTGGTAACATCCGGCTCCAAACTAGGCCTGGCCCTGGACCAGAATGCCGACAGCCAGTTCTGGAGCTTGAAGTCCGATGGCAGGATTTATAGCAAGTTGAAGCCAAATTTAGTTTTAGATATCAAAGGTAAGGGTCATTTCTTTTATTTTCTTTATTGTAAAGTGTGCGTCTTCTAGTTAAGGAAAAATTCATCCATAACTTTTGAAAAGGCTGAGTATATTATTAGTAGTGACAGTAAGAGCCCTACTATGTGGCAGCTGCTGTGCGAACCACTTTCAACACAGGCCTCCTGAAATCATCTTAGCCGCCCTGTGAGGTCCACATTGTCCCCCTCTTCCTCTTCTCTCCCCAGTTTTACAGACGAAAACACCCCTGAAATTCGAAGAGGTTGACCAATTTAGCCACGATCTCACAGCTGAAACTGCTGAACTAGAATCTGGCCATAGGGTGACTTCAAACCATTTTATTATTATTATAATAGTGTTAGACTAAAAATCACAAGCTGAAGGGCTGTGGTTGCACTTAGTTCAGTAGAGATGATGATTCTCATGTATACACATGTGACTTTTCATTGAAAACATCTAAGATCTCAAAGGAATTAACACAGCCTAGAGGATTTCAATGCAACCTGTGTTCAATGAAGTTAATAGGGAGTGAACTGATGGTGCTTGGGGACGAATAAATTTAGTGTGGTGGTCCTTAACTTTATTTTCATCAGAATCACCTGGAGGGCTGGTTTAACCAGACTGTGGGGCTACATCCTCAGAGGCTGCGTCTGTGGGTCTGGGGTGGGGCCTGAGATTTTGCTTTTCTAACAAGTTCCCAGGTGTTGCCAATGCTGCTGGTCTGAGGCCCACACCAGGAGAACCACTGATGGTCATTTTAAAACAACGTAAGAATGACCTAACCTCTGTGTGGGAACTCAGTGAACTAGTGCTGTTGCTACTGACAGGCACAGACAGTGTGCTATATTCATGTCATCTGGGGTAATTCTGCTTTAAATTAATGGGCAATTTTTTATTCCCTATCAGGAAAGTCAGCACAATTATGTTTTGTAAACTTAGCAAACTAGTGATAATGTAACCATACGACATACTCCATTAATGCTTTTAAATTTTTATGAGTATATTACATACTCTATTTTAAATCATCAGTAAAAATTGACTCAATTTTACTTTAATCGGGGATTTAGGCCAATGCTGTCATTAGAATTTAAGACGCAGGAGTAAAGAAAGCACTGTAATTTGATTTTAAAAAAAAAAACAACTTTTCTAAATAATGGAGAAAGAGCCTGGACATTTTCATCAGGCTTTGGTAACTGTATGGTGAGTGAAACTGGCTGTCACTTCTAGATGATCTCCAGGTAGGAAGCTTGGCCAACCCACTTAAAACAGTGGACTTAGAATCACACACAATCTGAGAAGTTAAAAAGATGTTCACAGGCAAACAATGCCTTTGCCTTCATTAAAGGGGCACTTAGGGAGCCCAAATTAAGCACTGCAACTACAGGCTAGATGGAGATCACAAAGATCGTATCAAATGCAAGCAGCACCCTTGGCTATAAGAAAATAAATGCAACATTCAGAAACCAAACAGTAACAAACACCACAGCTCCCTCACATCACATTTGGTACAACAGATTTGTCAATATGTAGACAGGTAAAATACCCATTTTATAGATGATCAGCCTGAGGTTCACACTAGTCAAGAATTATGCAGATCTTTCTTTATTCTAATTTTGACAAGCTTTTTTGCACTAGAGTGCTTCAGTGTTTACAAGAGTTTCAAAATCTCCAGACACTAAAGAAATGTGACTAAATTGGAAAAAATGGAGTTTTTGAGGCAATGTTAGAAAAAGTAGGATATTTAGTTCCCAAAGGAAGTCTGAGCAAACTTTCCTGTTTTTTACAAATGTGATCTGCTTCCTATGTCCAGAATGAAGGACACTAATCCTTAGCTAGAGCTTTCTTTTTTTATTCTTTCAACATGTATTCATGGGGTATGCGCTATGCGGCAGGCTTGCTGCTAGACACGGAGGGCACCAGAGGGGGGAAAAAAAAGCCTCCTTCTTGGCTTCAGACAGCTTACGTTCTAGATGCTCTAGGTACATTGGATGTCCCTGCCTTGCTACATTAGCAGCGGACCAGGAGGGACACCTGACTCCTTGTCTTAGCTATGACATGAACTGTGGGACTCTAGGTTTCTTAAGACTTCTTTTTAACGTTCCAAAGTCCCTTCCTAAATGACACTATATAAATTATTCAAGTGTCTGTTGAGTAAGGATACGTCCTGTGAATTTGTGAACTCTCAGTATCTAGTATGGTAGCTACAACAGTCTTAATTCCTTGTTAAACTCGATTTAATCTTCTCAGCCTATGGGAGAATGGTGCCATCTTGTGGACACGAGAGAGCAGGGCCTCACACCCCACATCCATGCAAAGGAAAATAGAAAACACTGCTCTCCTTGTTGGTGCACTTACTAGCAGACTATGCTTTCCATTAGCTGTTACTACTGAACCATTTGCTATCTATTAAAACTGCCGTAAGAGTCATTAGATCACACATCTAGTTTATCTCCTTGTGTTTGGGGATTGAGTTCTTTTGGTAGACATTCATGTATTACTCCAGACCACACACCTTGTAACAACAGTAGAAGCTGATTCATGTTCATTTTAAAAAACGTGAAGTCTGGACAGTTTAAATACTTTCCAAAGGCAAGAGAATGAATCAAATTATTTCTCAAGAACTTTATAGTCTTCATGATTCTAGTTGAATTTATATGAAAGTATTTTCAGGTACTTTTAAAATACAAAAGAGACTCTTAAAATTCAAAAAGTATTTTAACATAATATTGAAGAATGAAAAAGGAAGACACTGTGACTTTAATACTTCCTGAAATTTCAGTGGAGTATGCTGTGTGTGTCTCGGTCTCGACAGAGGGTAAGGTTTGCTGGTAGTGGCAACATTTTTTTCCCTACTGCTGCAGACTTACACAAGAAGGCTCAAAGCACCTTACCTTTGTATTGTATAGTACATCTAGCTGTGCAGAGGCTGTAGATTATCAATGATGATAAATCAGTGTCTTACAAGAGGTGCAGAAGAAACGATTTCCTTCCTCAACTATAATACCTAGATCTACTGTGTAAATTTTCAAACCTTTTTCATGTTTTGTAAATGCTTCAAAAGAGAAAAGAATGTTTATTTCTTCTTGGTCCAAGGAGGAAGCATGCTTTCAATACCAGTCACTCCCTGTATCAAAATGCACAGATTTTTACTTTGATGGGATCTTTGTTGATATATCCTTGGTGCTGAGGCTTATGCTAAAAAAGGATAAGGCATCTGAAGGGATCTTTATTCCACACTGGAAAAAGAAAATCAGATAACCCTTTTGTTAATGATACTTCTCCAAAGAAAGAAGCCATGAGGCTGATTTTAGCACTAAAGTACCTGAAACATCCAGTAAGCACCTTTGGAAAATCTTACAAACATTCTGGTAGAAGGGAGTTAGAGACTTGATGATAATACTTTTACAATATAGTGGCACTCGGCATTTTAAATGCTACGAAGTTTTATCCACCAGCTGAGGCCCAGTAGTGAGAATGCTACCCTGCCCCTTTGTGTACTTCTGGGTGTCATCCAAACCTCTCCTTTGACCTGATACAGCCCATTTTCATTGTTCATGCAAATGCTCTTCCTCAATAACCATTCCTCTTGCCTTTCCACCGCTGCCAGGTCAGCCTGCTTTTTCCTAGCTGGTGTCTGAATCCACCATCTCACCGCCAAATATATCTTAGTCTCTCTGCTCCTTTTCCCTTCTCTCGAGTTTTCCCTGTTCCCTTGAATTTCAGACATTGTAACAGTGACTGTGGACTAGCTCTTAAGAACTGGGTAGGAAAAGGAGCCTGTGAGGTGGATATCCTGTGTGAAGGTGCTGGTGCCCTGATGGGATTTGGACAGATTCACCCTTGGCAGGCTGACCCTCTCATCCCACAGGGGCTCAGCCTTCCCTCCCTGCTTTGCCTCCTTGAGGCATGCAGTTCTATACCTTGTTTACTTTTGCTGTACTGGTGTTGGGATAAATAGTGTTTGCTGTAGACCCTTCCCCATGGGCACATTCATCTGTTATTATGTTCCTTTCTTTTAGGGGGTACACAGTATGATCAAAATCACATTATCCTCAACACTGTCAGCAAAGAGAAGTTTACACAAGTGTGGGAAGCCATGGTTCTATAAACCTGTACAAAGAAGGAAGAAAATCTTCTGGAGGTTCTTCCAGCCGTCTCGTTTTTTAAAAAGGACAATGCTTGACGGAAGAGCCAACTGGAAACTGGATCGACTCCTCCTTCACTGATTCCAAATTCAACCATAAATCACGCTGCCATGACTCAGAGAGCTTACTCATCGTTTCAAAAGACTATCAGAGCTTTAAACAATAATTTGTCCTCCTTTCATTTCTTGCCCTTCATTCACTTTTGGTGGCTGCTTAAACAGGTTGCCTAATTAGCAGCTTCTGGGTGATTTTTTTAAATGTTGTATCAAGACTTCAAGACTGTGTACATTTTAAATTATGTCCAAAGATAGTGACAGGAGAGAACTGGAACAAATTTACCAACTTTGTGGACCTACAAAAAGCCCTTACACTTTAAAGGATAAGATAAAGGCTTAAGTTTGAAAGATAGGGAACTGTTTAGCATCTAAGAAGAAGGACTTTATTCGGCCTGTAGTTTTGGTTCTTGGCCTTAAACACTTTCTGGAACCTTTAAATATGCTGCATAGCAAAGTGGGAAAACCTTAGGTATTCAGACATTTAAGGAACTCTAGGTACAAACAAAATACTACCTTCCTTAATATTGAAAATCAATACATTTACAAAACTTCATGTCCACGTCTGATAACACTTGTTATTTTTGAGACAGGTCTCATTGTCACCCAGGCTGGAGTGCAGTGGCACAGTCACGGCTCACTGTGGCCTCTACCTCCCTAGGCTCAGGTGATCCTCCCACCTCAGCCTTCCAAGTAGCTGGGACTACAGCCACACACCACCACGCCCAGCCAATTTTTGTATTTTTTATAGAGATGGGGTTTCACCATGTTGCCTAGGCTGGCCTCAAACTTCTGGGCCCAAGCAATCCACTTGCCTCAGCCTCCCCATATGCTGGGATTACAGGCCCAAGACTCTGTACTCAGCCAGGATTTGGATTATTTTAACTCATTCATGGCTGCTGTAGAATATCACAAATGAGTGTTGTTCAATGCCTTTCTTTTAACTACTACTGGAACACTATCATGACCTCATTTATGAGCCATCCTTACTCATCTACAAGTGCTCAAGCAATGTTACATACTTTTTTGCTAAACTCAGATTTTTTTAGCCTCATTTCTGGCCCTCCTATCCAGCTGCATCTGCACATGGTCTGCATGGGGCTGCCTTCCCTACAGTGTTCTACAGCCATGCTTCAGGCTACAGCTGTTGGTGGACAGCCTCAGGTCTTGAGGTCATTGTAGCTGCTAAATGGGGTGTGAAAGGCTCAAGAGGATGACCAGCAATTAATTATCCCCAGAAAGTGAAGGAAAAGAGACCTTCAGGGATGTTGCTGGTCAAGTCTTGGAACTCATGATTTGACTGGATCTTCAAGCAGTCTTGGAACCCTCAACTGCAGTAAGCAGTTCAAGAATGCAAACAGACTGATTGATTAACTGCCAACAAGACACCAGCCCATATACTGCTGTTCAAAACAGTGGGTTCTAGCTTCAAACAAAAGCGCTAAGCATTTCCTTGAGTATATTCTCCCTCTTTTTGTCCTCATCACTCAATACTGGTGCTCTTGTCACAAGCAGAACAACTTGTTTCCTTTCCATCTGTTCAAGTGTGTTTCTAATTCCAAAATGCTGATCAGCTCTGGAGTCTATGGTAGGCAGTTATGGTTATTAGAATAGTTTATCTTGTTTTGAAATAGTATTCGCACATGTGCAACAGCATCCACCATGTCTGTCTCGTTCCTAGGTGTACAGCTCTAATTTTAGGCCTTATTGTGCATACCATTACAATACGGTGGGGTAGGACATTCTACAGTAGCCTGTGCTGACTGATCTCTTAAATAAACTTGTTTCTGGTTAACTATGTTGATGTAACTGAGAGTGCATTCAGTAGCCCTCATCTAACCCTTCAGAGTCAGCCGGCAGATTAGAAACAACTGCCTGATTAGGATGAAGCAGGTTTGAGGGGTGCTGGTGTAACAGCTGACCACCCTCTTTCCAAACTCCATAGTTTCTGAGAGTGGTAAACGACGATGAATGGGGTCCTGGCTCAAGTATTTCACTCCCACTACCACCTGGGAGCCCTCCAGGAAAAGAGCTGAGGCTGCTCCAGATGGAAGTCAAGAGCAGCTGGTATTTACACCTGGAAAATCAGATTTTTTTTTTCTTTTGAAATAAATCAGTAGTTAGGCCAGACCAGCAATTCTAGAGAAAAGCTTACATCTAATGTACATGCTACCAAATGAGTGTCTAACAGGAATAAACCAAGCAGAAATCTCGAAACAGGTCTACATCAAAAGTTAAAAGCAAGTGTTTCAGGTGCAATACTGAGGATATTAGGAAGTAAAAACACTTACCATGAATGAACAGATTCAAAAGCGTACACTGCAATGGGTTGACTGGTGAGATACCTAAATGTAAACATTTGACATCAAAGTGGCGAGCTTTGGGTTCCACTGGAATGGCTGCAATTTCCATGGAAAAGCCCTTGGAGAAGCATGTTTCCATTGCTGAAACAGGCCTAACCCTTATGCAAGATGTAAGCGTTTTAAAAAGTTAGAAACTGTGCCCTCACCTTTCAATATTAAGAGCATAAACAAATGAATCACCAGTCAGATTTTTACATATGACGCTAAGAGATTTAGAACTTTAAGTGCTGTGGTAACCACGTTATGGTGAAGGAACAAAAAAGGAAACCTTGGCTGGTTAGAAAGGTGCTCAGTGATGAATTCAAGAAGGAACCAGCTTTAAATTACCTCTTCATGCCGACATCCATCCAGACACTAAGTTTTAGTACCGTACAAACATTAAGACAATCAGGCCCAGCACGGTGGCTCACCTGTAATCCCAGCCTTTTAGGAGACTGAGGTGGGTACATCACTTAAGCCCAGGAGTTTGAGACCAGCCTGGGCAACATGGCGAAACCTAAAAATACAAAAAAATTTTGTGGGTGTGGTAGTGCACACCTGTAGTCCTAGCTACTTGGGAGGCTGAAGCAGAAGAACTGCTTAAGGTCGATGCTGCATGTGACCATGCCACTGCACTCCAGCCTGGGTGACGGAGTGAGACCATCCCAAAAGAGACAAGAAAGTCGTTTGAGCTAGTAAAATAGAAGGTGCCACAGGAACCTGCAAAGCCCATGTGAAAGAACAGCTTGAAAAAAACAATCGAATTTTTATTGACTACAGACAAGTCCAAGTGCTGATATTTTTGTATTAATTACTGACCAAAATAGTGTGTTTGTTTTTTAAAGCTTGTATCATGGAATTTATAATCTAATCTGGAAAAAAAATGTTTGAAAGGGATGGATAGAAAAAAATTTGGGCACACAGGCACTTACCAAATAAGGAAGCCAGCAATCACTAAACTGCATATTGATTTAAACAACATTAATTACAGTCTTTCCTCGTGCGTGTCCTCTTTCCACCTTCAGGAAGGCTTCTGGAACTTTAGAAAAAGGAAAGGTTTGTTCAATAACTGGCCGGATCTGTAAAACATAAGAGGTTGACCGGTGAATATAAAAAACTTCATCTTCCAAGGCAGATGACATTGGTAATTACCTTCTTCACGGTGCCCCTCAAGCCAGTCTCTCGAGTCTCTCTCCAGTGGACGCAGGTCAGGTTCTCACACGAGCCATGAGACTGCCTCCACTCCTGCCTCACTGCTGCATCTCTCCTTAACGCCCCTCCCACCCCACTGCCCACTCTTACTTCTGCATGCTGTTCTGTCAATCTCTTACTCCGAACCCTTCAATAGTTCCCACTCTGGCATTCAAAGACCATGCCCATCCTGACTCAGCCCTCATCCAGAGTCCAGACTTTATCAAAACAGTCTACCTGTCATTTTCTTCATATGGTACGTTTGTGCCTCTGCTGGTTCGAATCAATCAGCCCAGAAATCCCTCTCCTTTGAAAATTCTACCACCCAGGTCTCACACTCTTTCCTCATGCCCCAGTTTGCAATGTGCTATTCCTTTCAGCTACCACAGGAACCATGTGGCCTTCCTCAGTCTGCATGTGTTACAGCTGAGTACACATCTCAGCCACTCTGTGGTGCATGGTAGATACCAAAGACGCATCCCAAGGTCCTTGCTGTATGTATCCGCCTGGCTCCTTAAATTCCTTAAAGAGTGCATGGAGGCCAGGCGTGGTGGCTCACACCTGTAATCCAAGCACCTTGGAGGCCAAGGCGGGCAGATCACCTGAGGTCAAGAGTTCAAGACCAGCCAGACCAACATGGTGAAACCCCGTTTTATTAAAAAAAAAAAAAAGTGCATGGAAAGTGTGTGTGTGTGTGTGTGTGTGTGTGTGTAATTTGTTAAGTGTCTGGCATATCTGCCCAACCAGAGCATAAAGTACCTGTGGGACAGGGGACTAGGCCACTTCGTCTGCATCCTCCACAACACCAAGCATCATGCTGGACATATAGTAGGAGCTTAATCAGGTCACTTAGGTGAAAACTAATAAGGTAAGTGGGAAAACAGCACCATATGTGAACTTCCTGGGCTTCAGGAATACTTGGCCCCGGAGCTGCCCTGGCAGGCTTTGCTAAACGATGGTGCAGCTGGTTACAATTTACAAGAAAGCCATTCCAGCCAGTTCACAAATGTTTCAATGCTGCTGGGTCTTTTCACTGTACTATCAGTACGGCCAGCAGCCTCCTTCTGAAACCAGGTCCCAGGTAACATCCTCTCTCTCCATGCAAAAATCCAACTGAATTCTTCCTTTTCAAAACTTTAAGCACAAATCAATAATTGTTTACTGGGTATCAGTGGCCTGCCTCCCATAGCTCCACTGGCAGGGATAAGTTATCAGAAGGCATAAGCCAACTATAGATTTTACAACGCTTTTCCTTTTACAAGAGGAAGAAGTGTTCTCATGACATTCAGACGCATCTGATGAACCTTCCTCTTGGATGAATTTCACAGCCCAGCCACCAGAAGAGCATCTGAGGCTCCAAAAGTTCCCTTCTTCAAAAAGCTGGAAATACTTTTGTACCCACAAATCACAATAAGCTCATAATAAAAGCAATAGCTGGCACTTTCTGGCCTCACTATGTACCAAACACTGTTTTAGGGGCTCCATGGATTTCATCTCATTTAATCCCCATAATCATTGTTTGACGCAGATACTGTTATTTTACAGATGAATAAATCAAGGCAGAGTTAAATAAGTTGCCCAATGTCACAATTCTGCTAAATGGCGAGTCAGGATTCAATCTGGTGCCACTGTCTGCTGTCACCACTATGTACTGAGCCTTTCCTATAGCATCTGCTAAACCTTAAAGGAAGGGAAAGGTGGCCAAGGAGTGTTGGGATTTATCACAGCCTGCATGTCGGCCTGCCTTCCTTGTGCCAGCTGAGGACCTGGTCTCTAGGCCCTGCATCCAGCCACCAAGATCACAGATGGGCAGTATGTGGGTGCCATCCATGCCTATGGGGGACATCAATACTTGCTGATCCCCTGCAAACTGAGCAAGACCTCAGAATTTTCACCACTGCAGCCACTATTAACTGCTCTGAGCTGGCTTATGAGATGAAACCTATTTGTCTTCCATTCTCTCCAAGAATAAGGCAAAGAAAGGGCTGTGGTAAGTCCCACTTTAGGGTAGACTACATTAATGTTACAGAATGGAATGCATTAATGTTTCCTGGCCCAGCACGGTGGCTTGCATCTGTAATCCCAGCACTTGGGGGAGGCTGAGGCAGGTGGATCACCTGAGGTCAGGGGTTTGAGACCAGCCTGGCCAACAGGGCAAAACTCCATTGCCACTAAAAATACAAAAATTAGCTGGGTGTGGTGGCAGGCGCCTGTATGCAATTCCAGTTACTTGGGAGGCTAAGGCAGGAGAATTGCTTGAACCTGGGAGGCAGAGGTTGCAGTGAGATCATACCACTGGACTCCAGCATAGGCAACAGAGCAAGATTCTGTCTCAAAAAAAAAATGTTTCCTGTATGTCCTACATGAAACCTGAACCCATCACTCCCCTAAAGCCCCTGGGACACTGTTTTCAGGATGCTGTTTACCTGGAAAAGGAATCACCTGAATGCATGCTTAAAATGCAGAATCCAAGGCCTCCTGTTAGAACAGCTACATCAGAACCTGTAGGGCTGGGGCAAAGACAATGTTTCCCCCATGATCTGCATATACCCTAAAGTGGGACTCACCCAGTCTTTTACCTTATTCTTGGGATCCCTAATTTGTACCATGCACATACCCATCCATTCCACAGACTAACGAAGTGCCTGCCTCCTAAGGCACTAATCTAGAGCAGGTACACAAAACAGGCTGAACTCCAGAATGAACTGCCTGGGCTCGTCTAGCTATGTTCAACTTAGAGCTCTGACCGGGGACACATCCTGAACTGATGACACAGGCAGCTTGTGGTTACTGCACACTTTAATCTGGCTGGTCAGGCCTATTGTGGCAAATAACCCGAGAGGGCTGACCACGGCATAATGAGTCATTCAGCAATTCCCGTTAAGTGACAATGGAAAAAAAGGTTTCGAATTGAAGGCAGGCAAATGCCACTGTTGGCTGAATCCATGACAGCAAACACAGATTAACTGGATAATGAGAGAGTGTCTATGTACAGCCTCACATCAGACCTAGAATACTTGTTTGTTAAGGACAAAGGGATCAGAGTTAAAATCCAGAGAGGGGAAAGAAAGGTTACTTGCAGTGAAGTGGGGACGTTTATGTGATGACGCTGCTATAGTCCACCTGGCACAGGGAGCCCTGTTATAAAGCAGGCAGGCTCAACCCCATGCTTCCCACTGTGCAGACTACATGAGGCTCACTGCTGGCCAGGACACGCTCACAGAAGCAGCCCTCATTCAGCCTTGGATCCAAGTGTGGAGTCCTGATTGTGCCTCGCATCCCTGAAACAAAGGCTGAACCAAGCCAAGCCCCAAGATTTGACACCTGCTGCCTGACGTCCCTTCTGTGAGAATGCAGGGACAACGGGAACCTTAACCTCTCTGGACATGGCCTTGGAATATTGCTGCTTACCAGCTGCTGGGCAAATCCTCCTTCCTGCTGAGGCAAAAACCCGCTCTAATGCTTGAGGGGAAGACAGTACAGAAAACCTCTTACTACTGCAAGAGCCTGAGGCTGCTGGTGAAGGACACTGTTTAGGCAGGCATGGTGGCATGCAGAAGTTTTCCCTCAATTTCCGTTTCCCAGTGAGAATCACAAAACAATAGAGTTAACATATCTGAGTGGGCCTCTTTCGACAGGCTAGGAAACTGAAGTGCAAGTGACTGAGTGGTAAGTGCAAGGTCACAGCTGTCAACAGCAAAGCCAAAACAAGGACACGGGACTCCTAATGTAATTACTGCATGGGATGGATATAATCTGGGGAGTCACAGTCTGTTCCACTTCTTTTCCTAGACCCTTGGCCTCTTCTTCCACCAGGCACAGAGGCTGCAGGTCTCAGAGGGTGAGGTGTGTGAGGGGACGCTGACAGGTGGCAAACACCAAGGAAGACCTAAGGGCTCCTGGTCTGAGTTCAAATCCACACACCTGTGGACAGGCACCAGGACCGCAGTTCCAGCACTACCTCTTGGACAGGTATGCCCCTGACCTCTGCGATAGGTTCAATATTTCCAAGGTTGGGGTAAAGGGGAAGAAGGGAACTTAGTCTACCTTTAGATAAGAAGAGGACAAAAGGAAGAGGTGAATTTTGCTCTCAGTTGCTGTTTCTTGGAAACTTCCTGCCCCAGATGGCAAACTCAAAACTGGAAGATGGGGTGAGACAGGAGGGGGATGGCGGGCGGGGGAACTCTCCAAGGGAGTAAATGTGCCCATTTGGGAAAGCATCAGGGACTTGTCCCTAGGTACTCCTAAAAAATGTAGTTCCGAAAGCCAGAAGGTGAGCGGAGA